TATGTTAAATATTAAGATGTGAAAAAATCCTTAAATTAAAAGATTGCTGCTATAACCAGAGCATAACTAAAGTATATAATTACAATTGTAGTTATACGTACGTAAAACTTTCTTAATAATATCGTTTCTTTCCACAATGAGATATGATTACTTTTATATGATATCTAATAATAGAGAGATCAAGAACTGCAATGATGTCAAGAATCTTGGAGTAGCATTAAATAAATTATTCGATATTAGACTCTGCTTTAAAAAGATCAACTTTATTCCTGGAATGAGAAACGCTCTTCAATTTCTCTTAAATTTAATACAATTCATAATGGAGTTCATGTCACACAGTGTTGAACAGCAATTTGGAAAAGAAAAGTTTATAAAACTAAAAACAGTTTCGCTCGACTAGAAACAGGATTTTTTAAATATAATTTTTAAAAAACTTCGAACGCCCGTATCGACAATGAGATGTTCTGCCAGCGGAACTGTGCCGTATGGCAAAATTCAAATTTTCCCGCAGCGAAAGTCGTTTTTAAACAAGTCTGAGCGCCAATCAATTTCAAAAGACATTTAAAAGTCCTTGGTAAACGTCATTCTTAGGCAACTATGTTATCCAAGATCCCAGGATATTAACGAACGGCGCGGCGCGGCGCGTCGCGTACTCGTGGAGAGGAATTCTCGCGCGACGGTAGTGACCGTAGAAATTCCTTTCGCCGGTCTCACCTGATAGCCGATCCGACGTACTGATCTATTCAATGAGGAATCCGCTGAATCATTATCGACGATTTCCCTTTCCGGTGAATATCCAGTACCTCGGTTTCCCACGAAGAACACAACGTCGCGATATCCAGTGACGTGCGGTTTATTTTAATTCTTCTTTTTTTTTGTAGATGCGAGTACAATCGCGAGAACGCGATGGATCGGGCGCGAGCAGATCCCGCTCGATGCCACCTGATCGAGCGATCACGGAGAACTGAACTCAGGACGCTGAACGCCGTGAACGGCTCCGTCTTGCTCCTCGACGTTGCTCATTGCCGTAGAGCGGGACAGAACCGTGACAAGCCTGATCGGTGCCCTCGACCGAGCCATTCATTGTCAGTTTTCTGTATCTCGATTTCTATTATCGTGCTTTCATTATTTCCGAAATATGCAAGACTCTGATATAAAAATTATACAAGTATTGTCCTGGTGAAAAACTGAAAATTGAAGCCAAAGAGAAGGATGACAGAATCAAAAATCGAACAGATCTGTGCAGTTACTATTATCTTATTTTATATTTTATACCTTCTTCGATCGAATATTCTTAAATTCATATGTAATGTCAAATGAAGGAAATTATATATGAAATTATATATAATTTATACCCAATTTGAATTATTTTTAATCGTTTTTTAATAATAAGTCGCCACACTGCTCCTATTGAGGCTGCTCCAAAATTTACTGCCAGTACTGAAAATCTATAGTTTACGTCACGTGCACTATAGATTTTCAGTACTGGCAGTAAATTTTGGAATACAGCCTCAATATGCTGTTAATTTAACTAAAATAAAGAGTTGAAAACAATTTGACTCAAGAAATGTTAAATATTAAATTTGAATGAAATTTAATTTACTAAGTGTATACGCATCAATACGGATATTGTTTACTTTGAAACTAACTGCAGAAATGGATTGATTTACATTTCGAAACACATAAAAGTTAAAAATAATGGAATTGAATTACATTACTTCTTTGATATTTAACAATAAACAGCCAAATTTGATTTGAGGCTCGAATATTTTCCGCATATTCAGCTTCTCGATCATTCTCGATAATAAGATTTGAATGTCTATAACAGAATAATTGATAAAGAACAGAATCATTTTAATTGGGACAGCTCTGTAGAATTCTGGCAGATTTTATTTGTCACCTTTATAACTGTATAAATTATTGCAACAGCAGCTTTTCGTACATTTGTTACAACTTTGGAATCTTGATAATATTAACATTTTTTTAAGCATTTGATAAGTCCGTTATTTTTACGGAAGAGATAAGACTTAAAAAATATTTAAATGTATTCGCAGATGGTTTCTATTTTAAATGCACGTTCGACGATAATTTTAAAAGGTAAAAAAACAGAGTGCTGTATTACGTATAAAATAAGCAAGCAGAAAAAACAAAATGATTAAATATGAAGGTATCTTGATTAGATCGGTCTGGTTCTTTTTGACCGGAAACTAAAATCGTGATATTATTAGCTCATTTATCGGATCGTGTGCGCTATTGTGTAATAAAATATTCTCAAGTTTGTCATAACGTATCGGTTACCTGCGGTAAAATCGATATGTGTTTAGTGTTCAAGGTTGGGAAAAAACTTGTCACTTGTAACGAAGTTACAGTTAGAATTACTTTTTTCAGTAACTGTAACTTAATTCCTTTTCTTCAGCTATAACCGCAATTTAACTTACAGATTCTATTTTTTTTATTAATAGTAACTAATTTACATAGTTATATTTACACTTTATATATTTCAAATTTTTTTAACATATAGGCTTAATAAAATAAAGTGCTTAATGTGAACAGTCAGTAACTATTTCTTGCGATTGAAATACATCTTTATGCCTGATAATCATTAATAGCTAATGATTATCTAATGATGAATATCTATCTTAATGATAAATAAATTAATAGCTAATAAATAATCATTAAGAGCTAATTATAAGCTTCAATTGAAAAAAAGCTTCATTCTCCTTTATCTATTTACCAGATAAAGAAGAGCGAAACTTTAATTAAAAATCATCATACATTTATTATTTAAAATTTCTTATTTAAAACTACATGTTTTTTATATTAAATATCGTTAACAATATCAGCAAATAAATTTCTCATAGATATTATAAAAGATTAAATATATAACAAATACAAGTAATGAATTATTACAATATTAAATTAAATGATGAAAACATAAGGTTCATATTTTATCGATAATGCTTGCATTTCTAAAATTCTAGTATATGCAATGAGCTCTGTAATATATTGGAACGCGTCATCGAGGAGTGAGGATGTTCCAATTTCTAGAAAATATAACACCCTGATGCAAAAATTAGTACTGTTTTCTTTTTTAAGGACTTGCTAATTGTGCTGTTTGCAGAAAAGAGTCAGAAAGACAATTAGGCCCGTTTTTACCAACATAGATTAACTTTAATCTTGGTTCAACTTACTCTTCATCTTTTTCTAATTTTTAGAAGTAGAAAAAGATGAAGAGTTAGTTGAACCAAGATTAAAGTTAATCTACGTTGGTAGAAACGGGCCTTAGTATATTTATTTGCCTTCCTTTTTTTCATCGAGCCGCAGTTTAATTTCTATAGTTTAGTACAGGAAAGGCACGCGCGCTCCAGTATATTATAGAGTTCACACTGAGAATATATGTAGCGTAAATTATTATATACTGTAAATGCGTGCTAACATCGTTACAAGCTTGTTCTGAATACGGACCATATGTATAAAATTAATCTATACTATACTATATATTTTATTCTATGGGCCACTTTGACCAACTTTAATCGACAGTTAGGACCGATTGTTCCATCTTTTGGTAAAGTTTACCTGTTAAGTAAATCTGGCAATCCGCGCACGTGATTGAATAATCTTGCTACTTACCTAACAGATAAACTTTACCAAGAAGTTGGAACAATCGGCCCTTAGTCGGAATTGGCCAATCGCAGTCGAAATTATAAATGCGGTTAATCAATCGAAACGGTCTGATCAAAGTTAATCGGAGTTGATCGAAGTGGCCCTAATTATTTTATTTTCACTACACTATACTGTTATAATAGAATTTTAGAAATTAATTTCAGACATAAAAACTCATTCTAAATAATCTAAATACTCCTAAATGTATTACAAATACTATCGTGCGCTAACAATTCATTGCAAGCGTGCTCTGAATACGAGCCAGATTTTTCAATTTTCCAGTTGACATAACGTACACTAAATACCGGAAATGCCTGTTCCTTTCTTGCACAGATGCCTATTGTCTATCCGGTCTATCGCTTCCGGAAAAGCGGAAGACCGATTGGCCATCTAGAGTTATTCCCTATAATGCGATTATATGCCGTGCGCAAAAGCCAATGTGAATATTCTGCGCAATTCAGAGTAATTTGAGTTTTGTTCGCGTTGCTTCAAATCCTCAAAAATTTTTATATTTAAAACAAGGTAACTATGTATTTGAAAGATGAAGAGAATGAAAGCAAAGATATTGAGTGCAAAAAGTACAAGCAATACGAACAAACTTATACATTCGGGCGTTAAAACGAAAGAAAAGGGAGATGCTGAGTGCAAAAAGTGCAAATAGTACGAACAGTGATGTTCTCACAGGGTAAATAGATTCGCGTCGTTCGGTTGGTACGGAAAACTTGTGCATTCTAGACTGGCGACACTGCTCCGCTCGTTGATTCGTGATTGTTGCCGCTGGTGCGAACAGACGTTCGTCCTTTTCGTTCTTCATTCTCTGCGTGGCACGCGAGTGATTCTCGCGCTGAACTCCGTACGATTTCGATGTCCCGGATTTGTCTCGCGATTTTGCACGGGTGTTTCATCCCGATATCTTCCTCGCAGACGTGTTGGTTCTCGTGGTGAGTCGGTGACACACGTTAAACGTGGACGGCAGAAGGCAAGCTTGAATCGAGCGGAGGTATATTTGTTGAACGCCCTTCGTTCCGTCACGTCAGCCGTTGCATCGCGTCGCATCGCGCCGCGCGTCATCCGCCGCGCTGACTCGGCCCACCGAAACTGTGCAGGTAATCGCGCGAAGAGGTCATCAAACGAGAGGGGCCTGGCCATCTTGGATGAGACATGTCGCTTTGGAGTAAACGTCAACGGTACAGTGTTTACCGTACGATGGATGCCCGTGCCGGCTCCCTCTAATAACGACACTGTCTGAGACGGACACGTTCGTTTGGTCAAAGTTGCTCGCGGTGGTGTATCCTCTCCGGAACACGCGGACGTACTTCCAAGTGGTGGCTCATCGTGGTACCTGCGCTGCACGATGAATCGCGGTGACGGGCTGGTGCAGCGACGACGCGTGGTGAACAGCGGCGGCAGCGGCGGCGGTAGCGGCCAGGACGGCTCGAACGCCGACCTCGTCGGTCACAATGACAAATTGTCCGGACAAAGCCCGGACTCGGATTGCTTGTCCCAGAAGGATCTCAACTGCAATCCCACCATCGACGATGAGTCTGATAAGGAGACACGTCTCACTCTCATGGAGGAGGTCCTGCTGCTCGGTCTCAAGGATAAAGAGGTTCATTTACGTCCTAGAAATCCTCCTCTCTTTTATGAATTCCTGGACCGACCTGGTTGGCGTTTGACCTTTTGTCCTCTTTTTCATAGGGATACACGTCCTTTTGGAACGATTGCATAAGTTCCGGATTAAGGGGATGTATCTTAGCGGAGCTTGCCTTTCGGGGTAGAGTAGAGCTGGAGAAAGCTGGTATGCGTAAGAAAAGTCTGCTAGCTAGGAAGCTTCTTTTGAAAAGTGACGCACCTACGGGAGATGTACTGTTGGACGAAGCTTTGAAACACTTAAAAGACACCGATCCACCTGAAACTGTGCAGAGTTGGATAGAATACCTCAGTGGTTAGTTCCTTTATTACTGTACTTTATGTACAAGATGTTGGTCCTAAAAGTTCTTGCATGGTTACAGGAGAAACATGGAATCCTTTGAAACTGAGGTATCAGTTGAAAAATGTCAGAGAACGACTAGCAAAAAATCTTGTCGAGAAGGGTGTCTTAACTACAGAGAAACAAAATTTCTTACTATTTGATATGACAACTCATCCTCTTACCGACAACCTTGCTAAAAGCCGTCTCGTGAAAAAGGTAAATTATTTATCTTCTTTGTATTCTTCTATGATACTATTTTTTTATTATTGATACATACAGTGAGTACAAAAAGTGTTCGTAGAGAGGAAATTATTATAAAAAGCCTTATTTATAGAAAATAAATATTAATTAGCAATTTTATACAATGAGTCCATTCTAATATAAACAAAAGAGTTTCGCCTATTCTTGATCTTAAAAGCTAAATTTCTTGACTGTACGAATACTAATTGTGCAAAATAATTCCAAAAAATAGACCAATAAAACAGACTGTTTGTTAATAAATTGTTAATTAATGTTTATTTTTAAAAAAGATTTTTTAAGATATCTCCTCTGTGTGAATACATTTTTTTCATTCACTGTATATAACGCCTATGGAATAAATTGGGGAATTATTAATTATATTTCAAAGCTGGAAGACTCATACAAGTACAGATACAAACACAATATAAATATAGTTCGTGCATGTAAATTTTTATACATTCACAAACAATTTACCTCGCAATTTACATTATTTTTCTGTGTCTATATTTGTATGAGTTTTCCAGCCTTGAAATATAGTATATATTATACAGTATAATACACACCTCACACATATAATATTTATGTATTTACAGTGACTATTGCTATGTAACGTAATGACTGACTTATCAGATCATAAATATTATAATAATTTTAAATTAAGAAGCACCATAACGGTCAGAACGTTAAGATGTTGAACTATTGTAAATCATTTCTGAGAATTAATTCATTTAAATGAATTTACAATAGTTCAACATCTTAACGTTCTGACCGTTATGGCGCTTCTTAATTTAAAATTATTATGTTTAATATTAGCGGTCTTTCAATCTTATTATAAATATTATATATTTTTATAATAGAAAGCTCGTTAGACCTTTCAAATTTTTTCGGCAATAAGTAGTATTTACTCAGAAAAAAACCTTCCTCTCTAACTTATGACCTATTCTCATATAAATTGAATAGAAAACTTCTCAGTATTTGAACATTTATTTCAACTTTCTATGCTTAATGTTATAATGCTGTTATGTTTATCCCCTACGGAAGTAATATCTTATCTTTATATATGTGCTTAATATTCTACATTGATTACCAAGCATGTATACGAGATAACAGCTCCCTAATTAAATATATGTATATGCATGATAATTACATATATATATATTTGTATATATATAATTACATATATATATTTGTATATATATATATATACACATATATTTTATATAGTTATCTTTTTTGCAGTATGCTTATTATGCATTTATACATAACTGACAAATAATGTTTCAAGGAGATCTCTATTAATTTATACTTCGTGTTGTTAATTGAAAGTTTAATTTACAAATTTAATTTATAGCATTAGTTATTTCTACATTTCTTATTAAGGATATATCTGAGATACAATCGTTGACAAACATCCCTCAAATTCGAAATATTTGCATAACTGCGCCAAACGTGTAGTAAATCTAATGATTACTTATATAAATAGTAGATAATATAATATATTTATTTTTAAAAAATTATTTTTCACTTTTCAATATTTTATTAACTATGGCAGAATATGCCATATTGAGCCATACCA